GTGGGCTTCTCTACTAAGCGTGATGGGATATATTGTCAGGTATATGTTACAGCTATCTTGTGTCTCCAAACACAAGCCAGCTATTTTCCTGCAATCTTAACTTTTCTTTTAAATCTGCTTACAGGTGTGTTCCAGTGAGTGAGTGGGAGCCAGGGCTGGAAATGAAACATATTGTTTGTTCTGAATATCATGTAAATTGGTTTAGAAGCAGGGGTAGGCAACCTCGGCTCTTTTATGACTCGTGGACTTCAACTCCCAGAATTCCCGAGTCAGCTATGCTGACTCGGGAATTCTGGGAGTTGAAGTCCACGAGTCATAAAAGAGCCGAGGTTGCCTACCCCTGGTTTAGAGCTAGTTCTGTGTTTCACTGAGTTATAGCCATCACTCTCTAACTCAGTGTTTCTCAACCTTGACCATTTTAAGGCATGTGGACTTCAACTCCCAGAATTCCACAGCCAGCATTTAACCCTTTCCCAGGTAACTTCCTTTCTCCATCCTAAGTCTTCAGGGTGTATATAAGCAAGGCTATTTCTCCTCCTACCTCCTCATTGTAACTGTTGATAGCTGACAGCTATGTTTCTCTTTCATTTCAGCTCCAGATGAAGATGTACTTGTTAAAGGAAAGCAGTCTATCAGGAATCAGGCTTTAGGAAATCAGAATTCAGAAAGCGAGGTTCTCCTGGAAGTCGATGATGATAATTTGTCATCCATGGAGGAGAAAGAACTTGAGAATTTAACTGGTAACTTCAGCTGTTAATATTTTAGAATCTCTGTACTGGTTTAGTTGCTCCTTGGTAACACCATTTCTGCAGTGGCTGACATACAGTCATAATACACACACACACACACACACACACACAGACTAGAGGCTTCTTCCCAACGCAGTTATTTTTTGTCCATAAGAAATAACTTTCAAATTACTGCTTTAGATTCTGTTTAGTGAGGACTTTTGATACAGTCTTTCAGATATGTACATTTGCTTTTATGTACCTAATATTTTTGGAGGGGGTAATTTTTTTCTAGTCATTTTTCTAGGTGATAAGTCCCAGTGTCCCAATATACCAGGCTTGACAATTAATCTGAAATCTTTGTTTAATACTCGTAAGTTATTTGGTCTCTTGCCTCCCTTTCTGCAGCATTCATGGCAGTCATGCTGTATTTTTCCTTTTTATTCTTTAAATAAGTGGAAAAAAGGTTATATGTTACTGTAGCAGATTTGTGCAGTTTATATATAAAAAAAGGCAAAAGCAACTTTTTCTGCTTTGAGGTTTTAAGTATGTACCCAATTTTCTCTGGTCTTGAATTGAAAATTTAGATGCTACTCTTTTTCTTTTACTTCTATAAAATACATCCAGACATATATTGTGATTACGCCCAGAAGAAGAATGTTACTTGTTGGTTTAAATTTTGTTTCATTGAAAGCAGTGGACATGAGCTATTTGTTCATCATTGTTCATTAGGCAACATCCCTCCATAGCATTATGCATTTTATTCTACTGATTGAATCATCAGATTGGCCTTACAGTAAAGTATAACATGAAAATATATCTCATACCAAAATAATATTCGAGTGATTAAAAACAAACACAATTTATGTGGCTCTTATAGAAGCTACTATTCAACAGATTTTGCTGGAGCACCGGATCTGATCCATGTCTGTCTTCCCTTTCCACCCCATTCTACATTCATTACTTCTGCTAATGCATTCATACTGTAATAGAGGTAAAAGGGAAGTTTAATTATATAATCTTGACAATGGCAATAGGATTAAGAAGTAATCCTTGCTAATAAAGTACTGCAGGTTGGAAATGAAGTTGAAATTGTCAGGGGTTTTCAGCGGGACCCGAGGTGCCCTGGCTCTTGCAGCTGTCTCCTTGGCCTGTAATTGAATGTCTGAAAGTGATTGAAAAAATGTTATTTCTTCCCAGGATTACATGCTAATGTACAGAGGGCAAAGGGAGACAGCAAAAGAACACATAGCTGCTTATTTCATCCATTTGTGGGAATGAGCTTTGGGAAATCATGGCAGTGGTGCAGCTCTCGGATGCCCATCTGCAAACACAATGTATTTGTACACTGGGAATAGAGGGCAAAGCTGCTCTGATCAGAACAGAACATCTCTTCCATTGTCCTACTGGCACACATTGAGATTGATGCAAGATTAAAGACTATCACAGCCTCTAACAATTGACAGAAATGACAATTCATCTGGATTTTTTTTGGCAGTTATTCACCCATTGATTACCTAAGTGTGCACACCTCATTTAAACCCACTTTATTAATGCAAAAGGTTATGCGTCGCACATACATTTTACACTTTTTTTAAAACAAAGGCCGGGATGATAAATATTCTCTTTGTTGCTCTCAGAATTCCCTGTTTATAAACCACTAAGATGACAAATATAATCCACTTTCCTTCTCTGGATCTTGCTTTATATAACACCCTGCATATGGTTAGAACTGCATCCAGCCTATTGTTTTGAGTAGTACACTGATCTGCTTCTGTGATAAGCCCTGTGGAGATGTGATTATTCCAATAAAAATGCATTCAAATGGAAACCAGTGCTCCAGCTGTTTACTCCCACAGTCCCCGAGCTGTACTAGCCATGTATGGATAGCTTGAAACATATTTAACTGACAGATGAAACACAGTATCCTTTTCAGTTTCTAGCACTGTGTATTTAACTTTTGAATGTATATCTTGGCTGTGAATATAAATAAAACCTAGCAGGGAATCACAGCTTTTTAAAATAGTTCCTTCCTTCCTTCCTTCCTTCCTTCCTTCCT